CATTAAAGGATTTTCCCCACTCGACATTTTTTTTTTGCCCCGTGCACGCACTCCCACACACACACACACACACAGAAAGAGACTAGAGAGAGTGACAGGGGAGAGAGAGAGCGGAAGGGCCCACACACACACACACGATTTCTTTTGTTCCGAACAAACAGTCATAAATCCTAGCCCCAAGTTCAAACTGTATCTGCTCTTTGGTGGTGGGGGGTGGGGTGAGGGGGTCCCGTCTGCGGGCATTCTGTAGATTCCTTTATTTTATGTGGCACTTATATGGGGCAGGACACAGCGTGCCCCAAAAAAGAAATCCATTTCACTTATTCCTTCATGCACTTTTATGGCTCTAGTCCGCTGCCGTTGCCGCTGCCGCTGCCGTTGCCGTTGCCGCTGCTGTCGACGTACAAAATTTTGCACATTAAAAGCGAACTTTTTTACATGACATATGTATGCCACACAGAGCTGAAGCTCGGGAGCCACCCACACTTTTTGGCTTCGTTTTTAGGCAAAATGTAGTAGCCCGCCGCTTCCGCATTCCTTTTTGGCGGTCTTATTTTCCCGCTGCTCCTGCTAACGGTGGCCCCTTGCCTTCCGGCTCCTTCTGGCTAAATATGGTCCCTCTCCTTGGTCCCTTTGCTGGTCAGCATATATGGCCCGCTCCTTTGCTCCATTCCTGGTCATATTTTGTCCCTTCTGGCTCCCGATGCTGCCTATCTTTCGGCCTTATATGACCCTCTCTTCGGGCCCATTCCTGGACACTGCTGCCTCCCCCTTACAGGCCACATATAAAGCTTACACAAATATACATTTCATATTCATGGTGAGGCGCTTAAAAAGCCAAGAAATTAACTCCGCAAAAGTGTGGAAGGAGCCGGCAATAGAGTCGATGGGACATGTGTAGAGAAAAGCCCCGCTCTGCAGCGGTACGGAGGGATTAAGGGGCATAGGCCTACTTAGCACCCTCTTTCCGCTCCCTATTCCTCCCCCCCCTTTCCATGGGCTTTCCACACTATTTTGTGCTTAGTCGGCGGCTCATCTGCATTTTATGGTTCCAAAAAAAAAAAAAATATCATCATCATTTTTTTGCATTTCATTATGGCGCGCACTGTATGCGTGTGTCTCTCTCCCTCTCTTTTCTCTAGTGAAAACTTGGACCCAGCAGCGTCATTTAGTATGCTTCATTTCATTATGTCTCCCCCTGCCATTCCTCTCTCTCTTTCTTTCTTTCCCACTGCCTCACTCATTTTGAAAAACTCTTAACTTTCGCTGCTACCGCATGGAATTTGGGGCCACATTTTGTGGGCAATCCTTCTGTGTCCTGGTTCCTGGTGCCCGCTTCGTCTGGTTCTGGTTCGTCCTTAGCCAAACGGTGCGAGAAATTGTCCTCTCTCTTACCTCCAATTCCCCCTCCACAGCCCGTCTTTAGCCGCTTTTCCTTGCGCCATTTCCCTATGCCTTTACTTTTTTTTTTTTTTGATGTCGCTTGCAGCTTTCTTTCCTTCGCCATTTTTTTGTTCAGCTTCCTCCTGCGTGGCAAAACTCCTTTGGGTGTCTCTGCCATTTGCCTCGCACTAAGCCTGTCTCTCTCTCTGTCTCTCTTACTCTGTCTCTCTCGCTTCGCTCTGTCTCGCTCTGTCAGTCATTTTTTCCTCGTAATTTTCATAAGCAGCCGTTAGACGTTGGATTTATGTTTTTAAACGCCTTTTAATATGCGAGAGGATATTCGCGCGTAGCTGCCGCCTGAATCCCCCCCGAACAAAACACAAAGCCACTCGGCAAATGCCGCATAGCCATCGTGGTCCTAGTCTGCCACCCCACCCCTCCTTCCCACCATGCCACATCCTTAGCCCCATCTTTATCCATGCTCCTCCCCTACTTCCTCTTCTTCTTCTGGCTTCGGGCTGTCGTTTCTTGGTAACGCGCCGCAAATCCAGTGAGAATGCGTTTAAAAAAATATTATAATAATAACATTACGTAAATAATTGTTGGCTGCTGCTGCTGCTCCTTTCGAGGGGGGTGGGCGGAGGGTGGAAGAGAAGCTGCTGAGTGGGTTCGGTGGTTGTTGCAGGGTGCCAGGCACGCGCCGCTGGAATAGCAACGGAAATCAGCTGCGTGTTGATAAGCACGCATAGCTCTGTGAGGCAGATGAGGAGCAGCAGCAGCACGAAGGGACAGTAGGAGGGGACAGTAGGAGGGGCAGCAGGAAGGGGCAGTAGAAGTAGCAGCAAGAGGAGGCATAAAGCAGGAGGTAGGCAGCAGCAGAAACAGAAATTCGAAGGAGCAGCAATTCGAAGGGGAACAGTAGCTGGAAATATGCAGCCTTCTTCGAGTTGGTTTCCTTTTTCTGCCCCATGTCCCCATCTGTATCTGTATCTGTGTGTCTGTGTGGGTTGAGGGGGAATTTGAGTGTATCTGCAATTTTGTATCTGTGTGTGTGAGTACCATTTTGCGTGCGTATTATGGTGTGCTTTGCGGTTTGTTGTACCAGGAAAACTGCTTCAATATCGCAATACCGCAAGTCGAAACGTGGAATATACTAATACTCACTCGCACCCGTATAATACGAAAGAAAATTCCAAGAATTTCCGCTATAATAAAATAAAACCGCTGCACAGTGCCTGCAATTGATTCCATAAAGTGATTCCACGAAGAAAAGATTTAATATTGAGCACATTCGTGGGAAATCGAATCAAAGCGGTACTTTATATTGTTTATTGCCATTTAAATCCTTTCGTTTATAAGCAACAACAACATTTCCAGGCCCTACCATCAATCCCAACAATTAAATAATGGAAATTTCTGTCGAAAAATGAATAATTCCCTTATTTGCATTAATTTGTGATACAAATTGTGATAAAATACACCAATTTCGAATTAATTAATTTCACTTGAATACTCCCCGCTACATGTATTTTGGTGTTGTTTAATTATATTTTCTATAATCGAATTATGACCAATATTGACCTCAATTTGAGCTTAAACGCAAAAAATATACTAATCAAAATTTGGGTCAACGAAATCAGAAACCAAAATAGATTTTTTTTTCGTATAATATTAATGCAATAAAGATATGGAAAAATCGATCAAAATGAGGTGATTTTTTGAGTAATTACCCCTGGCTAACAGGAAAACGATGACTGCAAATAATTATATTATATATGATAATATATATATATATTATATTATATAATAATAATTATAATTTTTGTTTGTGATTTGTTTACATTTCTTCCCCAAAATCCCCAAAAAATATTTCCAGTCATATTTTTCCTATTAGCCAAAGTATCCCTCCTTCTTACAGAGAATATTATGTCTCAAGAAAGTACAAGGGGGGTGAAAATAAAAAAAAAAAAAAACCAAAAACAGAGGCACATTTGTAACGCGCTGTCTAACCGGTCTCAGGAGAAAGGGGAGCCAGGAGCAGGAGCACCCACAATGTGCGTGTGAGAGAAATTGAGAAAGGCAGAGCGAAGAAAAAAGGGAAAGACAGGGTAGAGCTCTGCCTGCAGACAGAAACACTCCACACACCACTTCTCCTTCATTTTTTGGCGAAATTTCATTGTCATCATCACTTTAAGAAGGAGAAGGAGAGGGAGAGAGTGGGTGGCCCGTTTGGTTGACGCTGAAGGTAAAAGTCCTGTAGACAGGGAAAGCCAAAGCCACCGACGCCTGTCAGACACAAAGTTATCTTCTTTCCTCCCTCTCCCGCCTACCCCCACCCACCCCACAACCACGGTTTTTGCAGCCTGTTTTCGTTGTTGTGTTTCCCCCCCCATTTTTCCTGTGGTTGTTGTTGTCATCTTCCGTTTTTAATTTCATCTGCCATTTACTGCTACTTATGACACATCCTTTTTGCCGCGGTCCCCCACCCCTTCATCCAAACCAGAGGCACCCACAGAGCAACCTACATACCGACCCCCAACCTCCCACCCCACATTCACATTCACATTCAACCTCAATTCTGAAAGAGTCTCCACAAAAATATCTGTCGTGTCCCATTTTTGGTGTTTCTGTTTTTCCCTTTAGCTTATTATTTATTTTTATCTTTTTGGTATTATTATGCCCTTTCAGAAGGATATAATGACTTTGAGCAATGTTTTGAAAGAGAGAAAGGAAAACGACATCGAGGTGAATAAAAAGTATTTCAATCGATTAGAATATCGACATAAAAAGACAAACTGGAGTCCCGTTTCGTTATTCATTCTATGCTCTTTACATTTGTATACTAACTAGCCCATAGGCTTCGTATTTGCTGAGATCAAGCTTTGTCGTCGTCTCAGTCGAGTGTTGCTGAGAGAGAGCGCAAGTTTGCAGCGCAGTTCAAAAACGAAACGAACATGCTCGGACATGATCGACAGAAAGAAAGATAAGAAACTTGTACTTATTGCGACTCTCATGCACACACAAATGCACGCAGCAGCTTGGAATTGAGAGCCGAGTGCAGCGCCCTTTTGTTGTTGTTGCTGAGAGAGAAATAGAGCGAAGCAATTGCGAGACCGTTCATTGCACGTGAGAGAAAGCAAAGCTTCGTACAAGATCAAGAGATAAGACAAATGCGAACTCACAGCGCTCGAGACGAAATATAACAAAAATGCAAGCCCCCTGACTACCTGCTCTGTCTCTGTATGACTTATTTATTTAAGTATACTTATTTATTTATATTCTAAGGCAATCTTAACTTTTACTCTCTGTGTTAATCTGAAACTGTTCACAGACCCTAATTTTTAGTAAAGGTTGTACAGAAGATCTGTTCATTATATCACTGATAAGAAATACCCTAGGAACCATTGCTTTAAGTGGCTATTAGGTTTTTAGGATATTTTTATTCTAAAATTTTGTTTCTTGAGAAAAATCATTCATTAAAAATTAATGATATTTATATGAAAATATAGTTTTTTATCTATGTTTTTTTTAGGGTATTCCCCGCTTCTACTTTAGAGCCCATGTAGATTTCCCAACCAATTTTCTTGTTGTATTTTTGGCAGGAGATTGGTACTTACCTTGGGATGTGCACGTCGCGGAAAAGCTACTTTTGGATCGACCTGCAAAGGAAACAAAAAAACAGACAAACGTGAGAAAGAGAGGGCTAGAGTAAAAGTGCGGGAAACGTCATATATTCAATGGTAGAGGCAGGGCAACAGGGTGGGGAAAGACAGAGAGTGGGTGGGATGGAAAGCAGAGGGAAAATCGTATGCTTAATGACATTTAAATGAAAAGAACATTTCGCGCAACTCTTCATATTAATAGCGTAGCATAAATCTTGCATAAGCCCTGCACTGCACATTAAATGAAATTGCCCCAAAGAGGTGGAGGAGGAGGAGGAGGCATGAGATGCCGCACTCAGAGTGGTGATGGGGGGCGGGCGGATAGCCATGTTGTGGCAGTAGCAGCAGTGGCCGTGGGTGGCTCTTCAAGCTGAGCACGCACGAATTAACGCGTAACAAATTGCTCGGCCAGCGGGCAAACAGCGGTAAAGGGGATATGGTGGGGGGATAGGACACTGCCGCAGAGAAGGAGAGGCGAAAAAAGCGAGAGAGATTTCTCTCCTTTGCGACTTACGCCAATAAGCAGCGTCATTAAAAATAATTAAAAATCATAAAAATTCAATTTTAAGCACTTTTTTTTTTTCTTCTCTGATTTTCCTCGTCTTTTTCTACTTCTCTGGAGGTTTTCCTTGTGGCTTCCACATTAGTGGGGGCGAAGTCTGAGAGACAGCTCGTCTTGACAGGTCCCCCTCCCTTCCTCGTTCAATGCAGGGGGGGCTGTATCCTTGGGATCTACGACTAAATCTCAGCCAAACTGAAGTGCTTCTGTTGCAGTATCTTAAGCCAATGAAGTAAAGGCGGGAGGGAGGTGGAAGTGGGAGCGGAAAATCATTGGGAAAATGGGCTCAAGGAAGCAACGCAATATCCTCTGGCGAAATCACAGATGAAAAGTTGTCACAGGACACGAATGTGACTAGGACCTAGGCAGCGGACATGCGGCAAGCGGCAAGCGGCAGGCGGCAGTCAGCGGCTTGTGTGTGTCTGTGTGTGTGTGTGTGTGTTTGCCGTGTTGATTTCCTGTGTTGCAGGACAGAAAACGGGAAAAACAACGGCAGCCGCATGGCGGGAAATTGATTTTTAGATTAAAATTAAAACTAATCAGCGTTGAGTGCCGCACGATAGAGAGTGAGTGGGAGCGAGAGAGGAGAGTGAAAAGTGGGAAAATAACTGGCGGACCAGGAGCTGCCCTCTTTTTTTCGGTGGAAAATACATCAGGCCGAAAAACCGTAACGTAAAATGAAATGAAATTCATTTTCGTTTCATTTTCGTTGGTGTGCAGCCAAACGGAAACACGGAAAATCCCTGACCATTCAGCGAAGAATTAAGATGAGCGAGCGGTTGGCAGTGGTGGGGGTGGAGTATATACGATATATCCAACTGATATATCCACATACATATGTAGATGTAAATGCAGTTTTGTAAAAATTACACATAAATACGAGGGGGAATGCGCATTTTATTTACAGTTGGAAAGGCATTCAAAACGGCTGATCAAATGGACATCGGATGGAAGGGCATCCCATTTATCCATGCAGCAACAGCAACATCAACAGAGAAGCTTCACTTAATTAGGCTAATGCCAATGCGGCGTATGCGTAATGCGTATGAAATGCAATTACGGCAGAGTCTTCACTGTACGTGTGGATTTATATTTGGCAGTGAATTGGGCAGAGAGTCGGGCTAATCAAAAGCCCCATTTTTTTCCCCAGTAAATGCGGATGCCAGGATAGTATTTCGGAACTGATTTTAGTCTGCCGCTGAAGGCAGATACTTGAAACTGAGAGATAATAGAACTGATATTGTGATTTCCCTCTGTGGATTAACTGTCCTTTAAAAACTTGTTTAATCTTTTCGAGCTGAGAGCATTTCGAAATCAAACGAAATCAACTCCTAAATGTTACATCAAATTCATTAATATCTGACCATTTCTGGTCGGATTAAAAAAATAAACGCAATTAATAAAAAGAAAGATTTCTTTCCTTAAATCAATTACAAAAATCAATGAACAAATGAATCAAACTAAAAAACATTCTGCTATGTAAAAAACATTTGTTTGCTGTAAATTTCAATTTCCAATTCATGTACGTAATTACATAAATATTTGGAAATTATTGTTAAGCTTTTGGTCACATTATTTTCTGTGAAATTCCGACGCTTCCTTTTGCTTTCTAAGTTCTCAGTTGATGCTCAGTTTTGAAACTATATTTTTACATTCATTTTGAAACTATTTTTAAATATTATTTTTTTTCTAATACATTTGTTTTTTTGGCTGTTAGCTTGATTTCTTTGCAATTTAACTGCTAAAAAGTGTCATAAAAAAGTACCCACTATTCTCGCTAAAAAACTTACACATTTTCATGGGGCTACACTACAAAATGCAGATGGAGGTTTTTTTAATGTTTCGCTGTGCCCTAAAACTGCAGACTTTTTACTGCCAGAAAGCTACTTTGACAGCACCCGAAATTTCATCAACTAATCATAATATGAACCCTTGGCAAAAAAAAAAAGAGAAAAGTAAAAGCGCCATCATTGCAGCTCATTTGATGTGCTTTTGCCTGTCCCTCCGCGCACCTCTCCACACTACACCTCTCTTTCAGGTAATTAAAAATTGTTTGGCCTTTATGGCAACTCTTCCTCATTTCCTTCTCCACCTACTGCTACTTTTTTGGCAACGTTTTTTATGGTGGAATTTGCTGTTGTTGGTGTTGCTGCTTTTATTTGGCAGAGACACTGTTATGCTTTGACTTTCTAATTGCTGTCAATAAAGAGTAGATGAGAGGATTCCATATGATACAGAAAGAGATCGAGAGAGTGGGAGAGAGGGAGAGGGGAAGAATTTATGTTGATGATGAGATGACGTCGCGATTCCTGCTTTTGAGCAAATATTTAGCATAGTTTCCCCAAGTGGGGGAGTTTTTTGTTTGCACACACGAAAAAAAAAAAGAAGAGAAAAATAGTGAAAATAGGTATATAACTCAGGCGGAGATATACTAAAAAAAAGGAGGCGTATAGCAAGGGTTGGCAGGGGGTAGGGCATGTGGGGGGGCATCTATAAACATTCAAACATTTACCTTTTTGCCATCCAGCTCGTGTGTGCCTTGGGTGAGTACCTTATCCACGCTATTTGGATCGCTGAATGTGACAAAGCCGAAGCCTCTGCAACGTACAACAAAAAAAAAACAAACAAACAAAGATAAAGATAGAGATAGAGTGTAAGAAAGAGAGAGAAGGATATTTATATGTATATGGTATGGTATGGCGAAAGGTAGCAGAGATGTTAGCGAGAAGTTCCTGCAAATATTTGCACAGCCGAAAAGGAAACGGCGACGGTCCTCGAGAGGCAGGTAACTGAAACTGAAACTGAACCTGAATCAACGGCAACGAGTTCTGTGGGTTGGGGGCAGTGCTGGGTTGGGTATATACCTGGGACCTGCTGCCATCGTCAGTTTAGCACGTGCGCCAATTAGGCGCTCAAATTACATCAAAATATTGCCAGAGAGAAAGGGAGAGAGAGAGAACGGGGCACTAGCAGCAGGTCCTGGCTCCCCTTTTTAGCTGAACAGTTCGAAGCCGCTAACGGCAGACGCTTACAAGCCATTACACTCTCTGCCTCGCTCTCCCGCTCTCCCTGGCTCTCTCTCTCTCTCTCTCTCTCTGTCTATCGTGTTGTGATAAACTTATTCCTGTTAAATATTTAATTAAAATGCTTATTATCTCGCACTGCATTTTAATGAGTCTCCCATGCCATCCCCGAGAGTCAGCGGCAGCAGAAACCAGAGCCAAAATGTGGCAGCGAGTCAGAGCCAGCAGAAACCAGAGCCAGCAGCGAGAGTCAGAGGCAGAGTCAGAGGCAGAGAGTCAGAGGCACAATCCAATCCAATCCCATAGCCAGTATGAGGCAGCATCAGCCAGACAGCAGCAAAAAAGACAACAAACCAGTTCAGAGATTTTTGGCTGTGGCTGTCGCTCTTCCACCTGCCGCACTCCCCCTTTTTACTCTTTGCCTGTCTGTGTCTGTGTGTGTGTGTGTGGCACGTTTATGTTTATTTGAGTTTGCCACTTGGCAGCAACGCTTAACGAGGCATCTCCTTCTGGCCTTCTTCTTTCAGACGCAACACCGAACCACCGAGCCAGGCCGTAGCCATAGCACCCAGCCAGCCAGACACATGCTTGCTATTTGTCTTGCTCTTTTAAGCCCAATCGTGCCAGCCCCCGTCAGCCCTTAGCAAAAGTCACCCCTTATCCACCTAGCAGGAGGCGAAGCAAAAGAAGAGCAACCGCAAGCACAGACAGTAATTAACGACGATTCTATTGCAATTGTGGCAATTGCTACGCTACTGATTCCATGATGCCACAATTCTATGACTCTCTGGCTGCCCCATGCCCCATGCCCCTGTCCCTGCCCTTGCCTGGCCAGCAAGGTCACCGTGTGCCAGCACTACCCTTAATAGTACTACGACCAGTCCTCAGGGGGTCTAAATGGGCAACTGGTGCTATGATATAAGCATATACCAACCACACTCGTATGCCCTCTCATTATTATATCTACATATTGGCAGTATTTGTGTAGTGGATTCAGCTGCATTTAATGGCATGCCATTTGAGCTGTTGCAAAAGGCTTTTCGCAAGTGCAAAATTACATATCAATTAGGGCAGGAAATGGCAGAAAAAAGGTACAAATTGGCACAGTTCTTGGAAGTAATCGAAACCTCTAACTAGATCAACTACATAAAGGCTATAACTAGATATAACTAGATACAATTATAAACGAAGACTAGCAAAGAATTTTAGATATTTTAGCAGCGAGAGATATCTATAGGTATTAGCTATCTATGTGTATGTAGAGGAGTCTCTAGAGAGATTCTCTATACAAGATTTTAGCACGCACAAACTTCTGATATTTTCTAACTATTTATTGTAGCTTTATCTGTAGGGAGGGGCTGCCTCCTAATTAATATCACTTTTATTCACTGTTCTAGCAAAAACTTGCATTATCCCCCAATTGTGCACTATTCTTTCCATTTCTTTCTATCCCATTCTATCTTTATCCCTCTATCTTTTCTAATCTCCAGCAAACACAGTTCTCTGCTGCAATTACCCTTCTCCACTATAATCCACCCCCTTAATCGCTCTCGCTCTCTCTCTCTCTCTCTCTCTTTCTCTTTATGATATTCCACACTTAATCATTCTTTAAGCTTCCATCCACTGCCTCCCACACACTCTCTGCCCATCTCCTTCGTAACATTCCTTAGCTTTATTGCCTACACAAGCAAATCCTTAAACAAGAACAATTTCCTTGTTTTGCGAAATTTATAAAAACAATTTGCATATTGGGTGAAAAAATGGAATAAGGAAAATCCTTTTTCCCAATGATTTGGCTTTACGTTTTGCCATTTCGAGTAACGAGTATCGAGAGTCATTATTATTATTATTGTTGTTGCTGTTGCTGTTGTGGTAGTTCTCCGATTTCTCGTTCCGCTGGAGGGGGGTTTGGAAGGTTCTGGGTTCCTGTGCAGCTGCTGCTGCTGCTGCTCGTGCTGGTAGCATGCCACGCGGCACGAGGCACTGGGCACTGTCTGGTACTCTGATATTCTCGCATTAAATAAACATTTTATCGTGATATTTATAGAGCATCGGAATCGAACAACAATTTGTGTGTTATGGTGTGTGTGTGTGTGTTGTGTGTGTGTTGTGTGCGTGTGTGTGTGTGTGCAATGTGCAATTTGTGCAGCAAAAAGAGGCCTTCTCCTTCGTGCACCTATTAATATTGATTTAAATGGGGGAACCCCCACTCCAACCCCACCACTCCACTAACAGCAGTAGAAGCGGGTTACCCCTCACCTATTTTATGGCGGGTGGTTGGTGGGGGGAGTGACTGACTATAAGGGCAGTAGGCGTAACTTCAATCCAATGTTCAAGTGGGTCACACAAAATTGCACAAAACGTTGCAGGGGCAGGGCAGGCAGGCAGCAGGGGCATGCAGCAGGGGCAGGCAGGCAGGCAGAGGTCGAGGGAAAGTGCCACAAAGTTGAGGACAGAGATTGTTGCAATTGCTCCAGAGATACGGCATTGCACTGACAGGGGGGGAGGCAGAGAGAGAGAGCGAGAGAGAGCGAAAGAGATGGCAAGACTCTCAAAGTGAAAAGCCACAAATTTAAAAGGCAAAACTCAAAAATAATGTGTCTCCTGTGTGCAATTTACTCACAAATTCAGATTCAATTTATGCAACTCGAGGCAGACAAGACCCTTTGCCCCTGCCCCCTGACCCCTGCTCCTGCTGCCACATGCCCCAAAAACGAGGGACAGCAAGAGCGACACAGCAGTGAGAGAGAGAAGGAGAGAGAGAGAAGAAGAGAGAGAGGGGCAGAGAGCAAGGTTCGCTGGATAACAACAGAAATGTGTACGAGAGAGAGAGAGAGATGGAGAGAGAGAGAGAGAGAGAGAGAGAGCGGGAAAGCAGCAGAGAGAAATGCAGAGACATTCATGCTTTCCTTTTCCCCCATCCCCCCTCCACCCGACGGTGTGTGTGGCATGGCGCAGGGGGGTGTGGTGTGGCGTGTGGTGGTGTGTGTGTGTGTACATGCAACTTGGGTTGCTTGTTAAATTTTATAAAGCCGTTTCAGAATGCTAATGAGCGCCACGCACACAAGCCAAGGATGATGATGCTCGCTGCTGCCTTGCTGCCTTGCCTCAACCTGTGGCAACAACAACAAAAAAGAGAAGGAACAAAAAAAAAACGGGTGAGGCTGCGACAGGTGAGCCACAGCCAGAGGCATGCTGTGGGTCTGGCGCTGGGTCTGGTGCTGGGTCTAAGGCGGGGGAGGCGTGGCAATCATGTAACACATACAAAACACCGCAGACACGTACCCAAAACAAATCGGAGGGGGGCACACACACACACACAGCATCTACGAGGGGAGCGACAACGAGGGAGCGACAGAGAGAGAGAGGTGCGGGGATGCTGCTAAAAGCAAAATAAAAGTGTTATTTGAATTGAGGCAGCATCAGAGAGCGAGAGCTTGCAGCTTGAGCCAGAGAAACTTTAGGCCCCCCCCCCCGCTGCACCGCCTGCTTCCTGCTGGAGCTTACGCACAATTTAGCAAAAATCCATGCACAGATACACTCTGTGGATAGTTCTTGTAGATAGTTTTACCTGCCACACATACACCAACGCTAGGGGCAAGGCAGGGGGCACTGCTGGGCATGGCAGGGCTTCGTCCTGCCTGTCTCCCTGTCTCTGGCAGTTTAGTTTTGGCGGTTGGCTTCTTGCGTCTTGGATTACCGTAAATAATCTCACTAAATGAGTTACCAACCAAAAACGGTCAAAGTTCAACTGGCAAGGTGTTGCGGGCGCCACCACGCACCACACCCACCCCCAACACTACCCCTACAGCTTCTGCCCCTGCCGCTACAGCTTCCGCTTCTGCCGCTACACTCCTTCCCCTGCTGCTGCCTCTGCCTCTGTGTGTGTTTGTGCTTTTGTAATGGCAACATTTGCCTTTGGGGGCGTGCCACAGATAACAACATTAGAGGCAAGTACGCCCATACAAACATACAACAAACATATGTACATATGTCCAAGTGGGCGGGGGGAGTTGGCGCCGCTAAAGCAGGACACTGGCTGCTCACGTGGTTGGATTTGGTTGGATGCTGATGCTGATGATGTTCCACTCCACCGCCAGGCAATAACCAAAACTGTAACTGAAGAGCGCCTTCTCCCCCTCACTCCCTCCCCCTCCCGCACTCACTCCCTTTCTCTCCCCCCTCTCTCTCTGTTTCTGTCTTACTTGGCAACGAGGGTGGAGGGCGACTTGTACTGGGGCAAAATGGTTATTGGTTATTTGGCTATTTGGTTTTTACCTTCCCCCATTTTGATATGCACATTTTGAGGGAGTATCTCCAACTGCAGGTAAACCCTGATGAACCCTGCCCTCTCCCTCTCCCTCCCTTTACCTTTCCCTTGTCCCACTCCTCTTCGTTTTTAATTGCCACAAGCTCTTGTGCCCCTGTCGACCTCTCAGCGTCTTCTTCTTTCATTCGAATGACAAACTACTGAGAGAATTGCTCTTGAAGAGTCACAGCGGAAGTAAGAAAACAATTGTCTCTGTTTCTCAGGCATCTACACAGCTCTCCCGCTCTCCCCTCCTCTCTTTCTG